TAAATAACCAATGGGTCAAAGAAGAAATCTCAAGGGACATTAGAAAATACTTTGAGATGAATGAAAATGAAAACATAACATACCAAATCTTATGGGATGTAGCTAAATCAGTGCTCAGAGGGAAACTTACTGCTGTATATTAAAATTTAAAATACAATTTTTAATGTAAATTAAAAAGGAAGAAAGATCTCAAATCAATAACTTAAGCTTCCATGTTAAGTTACTAGAAAAAGAAAAGCAAACTAAACCCAAAGCAAGGGAAGAAATAATAAAGGCTAGAGTAGAAATAAAGGAAACAGAGAATAGGAAAACAATAGAAAAATAAACAAAACCAAAAATTGAAGAATTAAAGAAGAATTAACATCAATCCTTCACAAACCCTTCCGAAAAAACAGAAGATAAGGGAGCACATTTCAACTTATTCTGTGAGGCCAGTATTATCCTGATACCAAAATCAGACAAAGATAACACAAGAAGAGAAAAATATCTCTTATAAATATAGATGCAAAAATCCTCAACAAAATACTTGCAAACAGAATCCAGCAACATATAAAAAAAATTATATGCCATGACCAACTGTGATATATTCCAGGAATACAAGGTCAGTTCAGTATACAAAAATCAATCAGTGTAATACACTATATTAATAGAATAAAGGACAAAGACCACAGTGGTTACCTTAATAGATGCAGAAAAAGCATTTGGCAAAATCCTAAATTCATTCATGATAAAAACACTCAGCAAACTAGCAATAGAAGACAACATTCTCAACCTGATAAAGTCCATGTACAATAAACCCACAACTAACATCATATTTAATGATGAAAGACTGAATGCTTTGTCCTTCAGATCAAGTACAAAGCAAGAATGTTTACTCTAACTTCTATTCAGCATTGCACTGGAGGTTCTAGTCAGGGCAGTTAGGCAAGAAAATGAAATATAAGTAATCATGATTGGGAAAGGAACTTCATAGATAACACGATCTTGTATGTAGAAAATACTAAGGAATCCACAAAAATACTATTATAACTAATAAACAAATTCAACTAGGTTGCAAGATACAAAATCAATATGCAAAAGTCAATTGTATTTCTTTATACTAGAAAAGAACATTCCAAAAATAAAATTAAGAAAGCAATTGCATTTACAAAGCATCAAAAAGAATAAAATTCTTAGGAATAAATTTAACAAAAGAAGAAGTACAACAACAATAAACAAACACATAGGGCCAGAGATTGGATTGGTGGTTACCAGAGGGGAAGGGGGGAGGGAGGAGGGTGAAAGGGATAATTCGGTACATGTGTGTAGTGATGGGTTGTAATTAGCATTTTGGTGGTCAACATGATGTAATCTATGCAGAAATAGAAGTACAATGATGTACACCTGAAATTTATACAATGTTATAAACCAATATTACTGCAATAAACAAAAAATTAAAAAAAAAAAAAAAGAAGTACAAGACTCATACATTGAAAACTACAAAACACCACTGAAAGAAATTACAGAAGACCTAAAGAAATGGAAAACATTCACGTTCATAGATTGGAAGACAATATTGTTAAAATGGCAGCACTCTCTAGGGCCGGCCCAGTGGTGTAGTGGTTAAGTGCACGTGCTCCACTGCAGCCGGCGGCCGGGATCTGGGCGCACACCGACACACAGCTTGTCAAGCCATGCTATGGCAACGTCCCATATAAAGTAGAGGAAGATGGGCACTGATGTTAGCCCAGGGCCTGTCTTTCTCAGCAAAAAGAGGAGGACTGGCGACAGATGTTAGCTCAGGGCTAATCTTCCTCACACACATCCACACACAAAATGGCAGTACTCTCGAAATCGATCTATAGATTCAACATATTCCCTATCAAAATCTCAGGTGCCTTTTTTTTGTAGAAATTGACAAGCTGATCTTAAAGTTCATATGGAAATATCAAAACAATCTTGAAAAAAAAACAAAGTTGGAGGACTCACTTCCCTGTGTCAAAACTTACTAAAAAGTGATAGTAATCAAGACAGTGTGGTACTGGCATAAGGCTAGATACATAATTCAACGGAATGGAACTGAGAGTCCAGAAATAAACCCTATGTTTATGGTCAGTTGATTTTTGACAAGGATGTTAAGACAATTCAATGGGGAAAGAATAGTCTTTTCAATAAATGATCCTGGGAAGACTGAATATCTATACACAAAAGAATGATGTTGGACCCCTATCTCATACCATATACAAAAATTAACGTAAAATGGATCATAGGCCTAAATGTAGGAGCTCAAATCATAAAACTCTTAGAAGAAAACATAGGAGTAAATCTTTGTGATCTTGGACTAGGCAATGATTTCTTAGATATGACACCAAAAGCGCTAGTGACAACAAAAATAGATAAATTGGACCTCATCAAAATCAGAAACTTTACTGCTTCAAAGAACATCATCATGAAGTGAAAAGATAACCCACAGAAGGTGAAAAAATATTGGCAAACCATATATTAGATAAGGGACTGGTATCCGAAATATGTAAAGAAGTCTTATAACTCAATAATAAAAAGATAAATAACCCATTTTTAAAAAATAGGCAAAGGATTTGAATGGATATTTCTCCAAAGAAGATAAACAAATCACCAATAAGCACATGGAATGATGCTCAACATCATTAGCCATCAGAGAAATGCAAATAAAAACCACAATGAGATAAAATTCACATCCACTAGAATGACTAAAATAAAAAAGACAGGGGGCCGGCCCTGTGGCCCAGTAGTTAAATTCGGCATGCTCCACTTTGGCAGCCCAGGTTCAGTTCCTGGGCACGGACCTACACCACTTGTCAGTGGCCATGCTGTGGTGGCGACCCACATACAAAATAGAGGAAGATTGGCACAGATGTTAGCACAGAGTGGATCTTCCTCAAGCAAAAAGAGGAAGATTGGCAACAGATGTTAGCTCAGGGCTAATCTTCCTCAGGAAAAAAAAAAAAAGACAGGTAATAATGAGTACTGACAAGGGTGATAAGAAATTTGAACACTCATACACTGCTGGTGGGAATGTAAAATGGTACAGCCACTTTGGAAAACAGTCTGGTAATTCATTAAAAAATAGTTACCATATGATCTAGAAATTTCACGTCTATGTATATACCAAGGTAAATAAAAACATATGTCCACACAAAAACTTGTACACCAATGTTCATAGCAGCATCATTCATCACAGCCAAAAAGTGGAAACAACCCAAATTTCCATCAACTGATGAATGAATCAATAAGATGTGGTATATCCATACAATGGAATATTATTCAGCAATAAAAATAAGTGAAGCGCTGATACATGCTACAACATGATGAACCTTGAAAACATTATGTTGAGTGAAAGAAGTCAGTTACCACAGATTGTGTGATTCCATTTATATGAAAGGTCCAAATAGGCAAATCTGTAATAGTCAGAATGCAGATCAGTTTTTGCCTAGGACTGGGGAATATGGTGGGAGGAATGGAGAGTAACTGCTAATGAGCGTGGGGATTCTTTTTAGGGTAATGAAAATGTTCTAAAATTGGACAGTGGTGATGGTTGTACAACTCTGGGAATACACTAAGACAATTGAATGGTACACTTCAGATGTATGAATTTTATGGCATGTGAATTATATTTCATAAAGATGTTAAAAAAGCTTTTTTGGATTATAAAAATAATACATGTTCATCATAGAATGTTGCATAAGACAGAAAACTACAAAGAAAATAAAAATTGCCTATAATCCCAACATGCAGAAGTAACCAGTAATTGTTGTTAATAATTATTATTATAACAATTTCTATCTTTTTAATCTGCATATTGTTTAACAACTTGGGCTCATGCTAGCTTACATATTGCTTTTTTTAACTTAACTTACATTGGGAGCCTTTCTCTACGTCATTAAAAATTTTAGTCAATAATTTAACAGTTGTACAATATTCACAGATAGTTACTGGGAGATCCAGGATTGCAAAAGTGACCTGAATGCTTCAATTAATTGCCAGGACCATATAGACTATACCTGAAAGGTGACCAACCAACCTTTGCATGAATCCAGACTCCCTTAATACGTCTTGTATAGAGGCTGTCTGACCTTGGACAACTATCTTAGCTCTCTAAGCTTCTGTTTCCTCATTCCTACATGCTGTGGTTAGTAGAAGATGATGGCTAAAGTCCCTGCCAGGTCTAACCCTCCAAGAAGGTCTTGGAAAGGATCTAAGTCAGGGACACAAAAAAGTAGAAGGAATTAGCTTATGGTGCAAGTTTACTCATCACCAACACCTTCCTCCTGGGAAGAGGTAGGTGAGGCCACAGGTGGCAGCATAGATCAATTGCTCTGCCTGAGCCTCTGGATGCTGTAACACAGGAACTTAATGCCCCTGAGTTAACCATGTTAGAGTGGAAAGTACCTGGGGTCAAATATATGATTTAGATCTATTCATGCAGTGTACAGTCTTAGATATATAAATGCTGTGTGGTGTAAGAAAATAAAGTACATGAAGTTTGGATTTAGAAAGAATGGGTTTGAATCCTAATTCTTGTGCTTATTAGCCGTGTCCTTAGTCAAATGGTTTAACTTCTTGGTTTCCTCATCCAGGAGGGGGTCAGCAATAATAATTACCTTGCAGGGTTGAGTCAAGGACTTAATATGGCATATGTAAAGGACCAGGCATGTGGTGAGAAGCTGATAAATGACAGCTGTGCCTACTCAGCCTGTCACATCATAAAGCTGATGTCTTTAACAGAGGAAGAGAAGCCTCACCAATAGTAACAGCCACACGGATCAGGGTCAAAGCTGTCAGTCCCTGAAGTGTGGGCTTTTTTCAAACCCAAAGAGACTCCACCTCACCACTTTCTCTTGCCCCAGGCTGCAAGCTTATGTTCCTGATGTTTCTTTAAATCTCCAAAGTGCCCAAGAGTGCCTGATACATTTGGCATTCAATAAATATTAATGAATGATGACTTCTTTGTGGTGAAATACACTGTGCTTCCACTCACTTACTCGGGTACTTGCGGATGATTCTGAAGGGCTGGTTGTTCACATCTGTCTCTGTTATGCGGCAGACATAGATCTCATTTAACTTGACAGGGTATTTCAGGACGGAGAACACCCTGTAGAAGCCATTCATCTGTTCCTCCAGGACCTCCACGGTGCTGTGGTTGCTCAAGTCCCTCTCTGCCCGGTCCAGCCAGGTCACATTGGGCGTGAGGTACCAGCCCTTGGAGATACACGTGGCCACGTTCTCATCATTAATCCTATCAAACTGCACCTGGGGCATTTCAGAGTCTGGTTGGAAAAAAATAAAACAAGTAGTTCCTTTTTTATCTCAGACCCAGGAGGATCAGGCTAGCAGAAATCTTACCCTGAGTTTTCACATTAACCTTTATGTAGGCAACACATCTTAAGGTTCACTGTAGTTAAAATTTTGATCCAGGCACAGTGAGAGAAAATCAGGATACACATATGCTCCTGCCCTTCAGGTCTCACCCACCACTGCTTCTTCTCTTCTTTGGGGGGTTCATCTCAGACTCTCTGCTGACCTCAGATACCCTACTGAGAATCATAGACGATAACAAATGATTCTCACCACCACCTTCCCATCAATTCCAACTTTTACCCTGGAGGAATTCTGCCATGCCTCTCTCAACCCTCATGAGATCTCTGGTGGGGAGAAGACCACTCTGTATGCAATCCTGAGAAGGGTGAGGATCCCTGGGGCACTATGGAGATCCACTCCAACCCGACATTTTAATAGTGAGTAAATGAAGTCTAGAAAAGCTACAGGAGTTGTCCAGAGTCACCCAGAATTAGAACTAGAACCTCCTGACTCCCAATGCAGGGCTCTTCTCACTAAACCACACATCATATCTCAGAGTTTTCATGTAGGAGTATTATGTGATGTAACATTTTGGCTTTTTAATGTTACAATTTGTTTGGTGAGTTTCGGATAAGGCCAGTGTTTTTGTTTTTTTTATGTTTTGCTTCTTGTTTGAATGAGTGAATGATGTGGATAAGTGCAGATACAGCAACTTTGGTTCAGAGTAATATTTTTAGCTAAGATGAATTGACATTCCAAATACCAGACTCTCATGATGGGAATAGGAAGAGCCTATAATATTTGAGTAGAAGAGAAAAAGTGAGAACACCAGAAGAGAAAACTTATAATTTACCCCATGAACAGAGATAGAGCTTGAAACCAAGTTCATGCAATAAATTCCCTTACCTTCTACTATTAGCTTAATTGTACTTTCACCTCTTCCATTTGGTGTGATGGCTGAGCACTTATAAATAGCTTCATCCATAAAATTCACATTTCTTAGTAAAAGTGATAGAGTCCCCTCAGAAATTCCAGCGTGATCCACGGAGACTCTTCCCTCATACAAGGAGTTTTGATCCTCTAGTTGCTCTGTGTTATTGTGAAACTGGTAAACCAACTTTGAGAAAACTTCAAAAAAATCATAGTACCTGAAAAAGCGGTAATATTCTTTATCATCCTCTACCTCATATTCCTCTTTGATGTCTTCTCTTTCCCAAGAAAACTCAAGATTTTCTGGGCCCTCTACAAAGGAGAAATGGCAGGAGAGGGTAACATCAGTGAAAGGGTGGGCCCGTAACTCTTCTGTAGACACTAAGAACATCAAAGAAGAAATGAAGTTAGTAAAGTACTTATAGAGACCAGTGAAACTCAGCTCTTGTATTCAGGTTAATAACAGATAAAAGAAATCACTCTAGCTGGAAGAATGAGCCCAAAGAAGTAGTGGAAGGTGAGACTTGGCAATGTGTGTGTTCTGTCCTTCCCCACATTATGTCAGGCTCAGAACAGCACTGCAGAGCTGGTCTGCCAGTGGATGCTGCCTTTGCCATATCAGGAAGCTGTTAAATCAGGAAGTCATCACTGCAGGCATCAGCTCCAGAGCCAGATTGCACCTGCTAGATTCACACTGGCAATAGAAAGGATGCCTCAGGCACTATCACCTTTCTCCCCACCTAAATCAGTTGCCAATTTAATCAGATTGGCAGAGCATATATCATTTCCAGAACCCAAAATGCAAAGGAAGCTTAGAAATGTAGTTTTTTACTCTCTAATCTCAGCAATCCAGGAAGACACATCAGAAAGCAGAAACAGATTTTCAGTAAGTCAGTCTATTCTACCTGCCTCAAATACCTACTGGTCTGAGCAGAATTATCAACAGAAGTGGGTACAGGCTGTGGGGAATACAGCCATGCCCTATGTACTATTCATAGAATCATGACATGGAATAGAATCCTGATAGCTTAGAGCTGGAAGAAAGCTTAGAGATCATTTGATTAAATCTTTTCAAACTATTTTCCCCAAAGCCCACCCCAGAGTTTGCTATTGACAGCCAAGGGAAGACCAAATCAGTGAGACCTCCACCCCCTTTCCACTTCAATCAGAACAATCCCTCCTTACTTTACGTTATAAATGGGCTTCCAAGTCAGAGATCTTCTGCCAAATGTCTCTGCTGCTAAAAGACAAAACTGAAAGCCAGGAAAAAGTTGCTCAGGGTCACAAAGTAGGATACTGTTAGCACTACAGAAAGAAACAAGACCCTGTGGAGTTTAAAAAGAACTTTTCAGGTCATCATTACCAAACTTTTGAGCCTGTGAGACTAATTAAATTCCCAACTTGTGTAAGACAGAATAATGAAACTGAAGCATTATGAAAGTAGAGACTCCAATAAGAAGGGAATCTTTTATTCTCCTAGAGACACTGTGTAGATAACAAGCATCAGAAAGGAGGAAGAGCTAGCCAGTGTGAGCCTGAGTAAGGGTGCTGTTTGATATAATAAGGTGAGAAGAAATAGAAGAAAAAATACATGAAGCACCAACGGAAAAACCAAATGGTGCAAGTTAGTAGGCAAGGAAGCTTCTAAGCCATTCCAAGGGGACATTCCAGCTGAGTAACAGATGCAATCTGCTCATTCCAGCAGTGGCAACCACGTAGCTCTTGGTGGGGTTGACCATAGACTATCCACAGAAGGCAGAGACTATATCTTAACCATCCTGTTTCACGAGTACCTAGCATGGGACTTGATACAGTAAGAAAATATCAGGTATGATGGTTAACTTTATGTGTCGATTTGACTGGGTCACAGGGTGCCCAGATATTTGGTCAAACACTATTCTGGGCATGTAAGTGAAGGTGTTTTGGATGAGATTAACATTTGAATTGGTAGACTCAGTAACTCTGATTGTCCTGTCTAATGTGGGTGGTCCTCATTCAATCAGTTGAAGGCCTCAATAGAATAAAAACGCTGACCCTCCCTTGAGTAATAGGGAACTTGCCTGGCTATTTGAGCTGAGACTTCCATCTTTTCCTGCTTTCAGACTCAAAATGAAACATAGGTTCTTCTTGGGTCTTGAGCCTTCCAACTCAGACTGGAACTATACTATCGCTTTTCTGGGTCTCCAGCTTGTCCACTGCAGATCTTGGGACTGCTCACCTCCATAATCACATGATCTCTTTACATAGATTTTGATTGTTCTCTTTTTCTGGAGAACTCTAATATATAAGGTAACATTTATTAATTGTTTACAATGTGCTGGACATATTTTAAACACTTTTCCTGAATTTATTCACTTAATCTGCATACTAATACTGACGTAGGTACTATTCTATCCCCCAATTGACCACTGAGACAACCAAGGCACAGTGAGGTAAAGTAAGTCAGTCAGGAACACACAGCTAGTGAGTGGTAGGGCTATGACCCAAACCCTGGCAGGCTGGATCCGGAGCCCCCCATCTGAGCCGTGTTCTTTCTTCTAACAGTTTGATGAATGAATCAATGACTAATTAAATAAATGACTGAATGAATACAAAGGAAGACAGACGAGAATGGAAGAAGGAGGCTAGGACAACTTACACAACCTTTAGAAGGCTAGATTTGCATGTGAAAAAACTAAGTGCTTTCCTGATCAAATTGTTATTTGTCTGATGTGGTTAGAAACCAGAGGCAGTGGACTATAGTTATGAACAAATCCTAGTCTGAAGATTTGTAAATTCAAGGTCTAGTTCTAAATCCATCCTACTGGTCATTTGGCATCGGGCAAATCACTTCATCCCTCTGAATTACAGTTTCCTTATGTATAATTAGGATAAGAACACCTGCCCCAGGGTTGTTATGAAATACAACAACAATTGGGATCTTAGGGACTGTTTTTATATGACATGGCTCAGTCATTTTCCAGAGGGACAGGAGTGGACCAGATGGGTGGATACGTTAGTAAGCTGTCCCTATTCCCAATCTCTCATAAGAATATGTAGCTGACTCATGAGGGGTCCTTGATCCTAGCTTCTCAGGTTATACCCAGGAGGTCTTCCTACAGCTGTACCCTTTCTGGCCCCAAGGGAAAGGGTCTCAGATTCAGGAATCCAAAGGCTCTAGCCAATTAATCATGAAACACGATCTACTGATGATGTAATTGGTAATAGAAAAGCCAACTTCTGCCTTATGTCTGCAGATGGTCCTACTTGAATCTGAATAACTCTTTTGTCTATTTCAATCTGTATTATTTCTAGACCATTGTGTCTCTACCTTCCCAAGGCCTAAGAAGCTGAGGCAAAAGCTCAGCAAAAAGCTTATAATGGGGAAAACACTTTGAAAACTGTGGAAAGATATTATATCTAAAGCACCTACTCTAGTACCTAGCACATGGTAGTATGTTGTCAATGTTGCTATAAAATGTAAGATATTTTTAGAATTCACACACCTTTCTCTTTCTCATTTACATACACACCCATTCCTTCAATTTATTTTGTTAGGTTCTTCCTGACTATGAGTGGATTACCATTTCACTTTGTCTTAGTGCTCCCCTCTACACACACACACACACACACACACACACACACACACACAGAGTAACCAAGCATCAAACGAAAAGAGCCAGTAAATGTAATCTGGGTAGACCAGGCCTCTACTCCTGAGTAGATCTGTGGAGCCTGAAGACGCCTTCAAGCTGCTGCCACCTCTCAAAGACTGGCAGAACTGCTGTAGGTCCCTGAGTGATGGCATATGCCTGAAAACTATAAATGTGTTTGATCACTTTGTGGAGTAGTTATATTGCAGGTTTGGGATACACATGTTTTTTTAAAGAAATTTTTGCGTATATACTTTTGGTTAGCTGAATTACATTAATATCTTCAACATCTATATACTGTTCATCCCAAAATGTTTGAAGATAAAGAGTTACATAAACCCTGTGTTGACTGCCCATCTAGATTTTTCAGGACAGACTGATTTCAAATATTCTGTGATACTATATCGAAATTTACACTTGTCAGAGTCACTTGAAGTTGGGAGCAGTGTCTAGATTTTTTTTTTTTTTGGTTGAGAGAATTCAAATTATACGTGTGAATAAGTGTAGTCATCCAGATATGGCCTCAAACAGACAAACCAAATTAGGGGGATGGGGAGGTTGTTCTCATTTTAAAAAACAAAAATAGAGTAAACAATAATGCTTTACAATTCGTGTCTGTTATAGTTTCCCATCTGCTCTTCACCATTTCCTGTGAAACAAATACAGCACTGTTGTTTTCATCTAACAAATGAAAAGACTGGGGTTCAGAAAGGTTAAATCATTTGCTTGGTTTGTGTTTTTCTAAATCTCCAAATCACTATTTTCCTCACTATCCCAAAGCTATTTCAGAAATGCCCACAACATTTTTTTGAAGTGACTCACCAGCAGCACGAACAAGTAGAAGTATGTTGACAGTCACCAAAAAGAAAGACATTCTGTAAGGAATTAAAAAAAGGCAGAAAATTTGCTTCAGCCAAGAAAGAGTGTGGGCCAGCAGAACCCAGCCACCCTTGCTAGGTCCAAGGAAGGCCCCCACAGGCACCACCTCCATACTCCACGCCCACCAGATGCGCCCTTAGCCAACAGAGGCTTCCCGCACCTCAGCATTCGACGTGGGATGCCCACCAAGTCAAGTTCACTCAGGCTGATCCTGTGCAGATTTATTTGCTTTGCTATATGAACCTGGAACTCTATTTCTATAATATGCAAATCTGTCTCTCTAGGTGAGTCATATGTTAATTCATTTGGATCACAGTCAGCCCTGAGATGATGTTTGAGGGGTCAGTGACAGCTTCCCAAGCAACTGTCACTGGCCTTTCTGCATGTTGCTGGGGGAAAGTCAGCAGCAGAAGAGGTATAACTAGTAGATGTACAGGTGTATCTGGGAAGTTATGCTTCCCAAATGGAAAAAAGTAACCAACAGACAGTACTAAATGAGTCTTCCCAGCCAGGGCTGCACTTTAAGGGGAATGGTATTAACGAGCCTAGGACAGCTCTGGAAGGGGTGGGATAAAGGGCTCGGGGAACACTCAGCCCTTTTGAGAAGCTCTGACACAAATGTACATCTACATACAGGTAAAAACAATCTTACTCTCAAGCTGGATCCAGCCTTCCTGTCTGGTCTCATCTCTCACTGATCCTCCCACACTTCAATTCCACCAGTACCATGCCTAAGTCATGGTGCTGTCCAGACCGTCCATGCCTGGTATGTCTCCCGTCACCACCACCCTCATCTGCTACATCTCACTACTCACTTACCATTTAAAACTCTGCCCAGGTAGCACTTCTCAGAGCCCTCCCTGATCCCATAGCCAGTTCATCATTCCCCCTTGTGTATCTTGAACATACTTTTGTCCTTGCCTGAACCACATCGTGTGGCATTATTTCTTTATGTATTTTTTTATCCCTTACTATTTCAAAGTAAGAAAGGTAAGATTATCATATCTTCTCAGAATATTTTCTTGTCTCCTCTTCTTCCTGTTATCTATTAAGGAGAAAAAAACACCACCACAATCTTCCAGTTCTATGATACAGCATAATAATAGCAACTGTATATCAAATGCTTACAAATGCCAAATTTAACCTTCAAAATAAGACAGTGAAGTAAATACTATTATTGTCTCCATTTTATAGGAGAGAAAACTAAGGCACAGAGAAGGTAAATAATTCATCCAGGGTCACACAGAACAGAGACTCTCACCTTTCAGGTTAGTTGAAGCCTGTGCATGTCACCTAAATTCTGTCTAGACAAACCTCTGCAACTCACACTCACTGTGGGAAGTCCTGTCACCCAGGGTGTCCACCAAGAGAACAGGCAGCTCACAGGCTGATGGAGCAGATGGCATGTGGAATGTTACAATAAGTCTCTTTCCTAGAGGCCTATTAGACCCTGGAGAATATGTGCTCTCTGGGTTGAATATTAACAGACACAGAAGTCTTCAGAGGAACAGGAGCATTAAGGAGCAGCCCCTGCCAGTCAATGACCAAATAAAGCATTTCTGGGGTCAGTGGGACAAATGGAGAGATTCTTCGTCAAGTCTATATACCCTAAGTAGGAATACGACTAATGATTGACAGCTATTGATTTAGAAAATATCTCTCTGTGGTAGATTAGTAAAAAATTTTAAAGACACACCTAAAATAATATAAAATTTAAAAGGTAATATTCCAGCCAGCAGCTACTAGAGCTATAGATAGTTAATAGAGAGATTATAGTCAAATATCATAGGGAAAAAAGTAGGAATATGTCTTTTCAACTCAATAAAATTTCATTATCTATTTCTAAGATGGAAATTTTTCACTATGAAAGACATAAATTCTAAAGCCTTCCCCTCCTCCCACCCCAGTCAGATATAATCTTTGCTCCTCTGCACTTCCACTGTATTTTGTACTTTTTCATAGTACTCTCACCCATTAATAAATCTTATTTTTAACAATTCTAATAGTAAACCAAATTTATTGTAAAAAAATGTTTGAAAAAATAGAAAAGAATAAAGAAGAATATTGCAATTACTTTTAAGTCCATTGCCCAGACAATCACTATTACCGTTTTGGAGTATTCCCTTTCAGTTTTTCATATGTGCACCTTTTAAGAGAACTCAATTTGTATATACAGGTGAGTGTTCAATTTAATTTTCCTCATGACACTATTTTGTGAGCATTTCTCCATCATTAAATATTCATATAATCTGGTCTACGTATAGCTGTTTGCATGCATATCTTATCACCCCTACTAGACTGTAAGTTCCCTACAGGCAGGGCTGGGTCCTCTTTGTCTTTCATACATCCATCATGGTGTTCCATACTTCAGAGGTACCCAATAAGTGCTTACTGCATTAACTGAATTGAATTGAATTTGGTGTAACATTCTTACAAAGTTTCACTATATAACAGGAAAAAGAATAAAGAAATTCATACACTACTAAGGATAAGAATCAACTATGCCAAAACAGAAAATTCCAGCAATGCACCCAGGCATTGCCTCCAGAGCTTGTACCCTTTTCACCTCGCATGTACAGAAAAACTATGAGAAATCTATGAACCAGCTCTATGTGGAGACATAAGCGTAAAGGGACCAGATACAGTTGGAGTAGATAACTAAACACTTCACTCACAAAATCCATTATCCACATTATCCTTCAGTTCACAGTCATGGTCAACAATTTCTCTCAAATAAATAGTCTCCTCATTGAAAGAGCTTACCTGTATCACAGCTGGTCCCTCTGATCAGCCAGGTGAGAAGCAAGTGAGGTGGAGTCAGCATGTCTTTGAAGGGATGGTTGTGTGGCAGGCCCCAGGGAGAAGGCTTGGTGATACTATTATTACCAAGCTGTTGCAGCAAAATCTTGGCAACGAGCTCTGTGAGACTTGGTATTTCTTAGAGCTGCCTTGTTGGCAAGGCATTGTGGTAGAAGAGTGGAGCTAAGAAAACACCATAATGTCCAATATTGGAGAATCATTCTGTGCCCATTTTAAAAAATCACATTTTTGAAGAATAATTAAATAACAGAGGGCCGGCCCCATGGCTTAGTGGTTAAGTGCGTGCGCTCCGCTACTGGCGGCCCGGGTTCGGATCCAGGGCGCGCACAGATGCACCGCTTCTCCGGCCATGCTGAGGCCGCGTCCCACATACAGCAACTAGAAGGATGTGCAACTATGACATACAACTATCTACTGGGGCTTTGGGGGAAAAAAAAGGAGGACGATTGGCAATAGATATTAGCTCAGAGTCGGTCTTCCTCAGCAAAAAGAGGAGGATTAGCCTGGATGTTAGCTCAGGGCTGATCTTCTTCACAAAAAAATAAATAAATAAATAAGATAGAAAATGCTCACTCTATCATTTTTAGTGAAAAAATAAAAATAAAAAACAATATACGTTTACACAAATGTATGATTTCAACTTTGTGGGAAAAAATATGTGCATATAGAAAAGAGAGAAAATAAATACACCAAAATATTAGCAGTGGTTACTCCTAGATGGTGAGATTATGTGTGATTTTAGTTGTTTTCTTCATATATCTCCGAATTTTCTATAGTGACCTTTTACATTTACATTACAATAAATGCTTTATAACTGAAAAATAAAAACATGGACAGACAGACCTTATACACATAATGTGGTACAGACAGTGAGGGTAGAGGAAGGAGAACAAATGAGATTTATTCTCTATTGTCTTCGTCTTAGGGATAAGGATGGTTTGTGTCTCCTGTTCAAAGCCTTTCCCATTACCCTTTAAACTCAAGTTCAGTGGTGGCCAGCTCTTTATTAGGGTGCCCCTCCCTCTCCAGGCCCATAGCACATGGATTACTGAGTCTGCGTCTGAACTGGGTTGACCCAGTCCTTACACTCAGCACACAGTCTGGGGTGAACTTTAGACAAGGGTTTGAAGGAACACTTCTGATAGACAGGCTTATTAGAACAGGGCAGGAAAGGTAAAGACAAGACCAGGAGGCCTCCTGCTGGGGATCGGGGCCTGAGGCAGTTTCGTCTTGGATCCCTCACCTCACCTGGCTGTGAATGGTGTGGTTAGCTCCTCTCCTTGGATCTCCAGAACCTCTCCGTTCCTCTAGTCACTTTTAGTGGCTAAGTGAAGGAAACATCTTATGAAGTTTCAAGATAAGCTTAAAGCTACATCCATTAACATGAACTGTTGAGGGATGTCTTGTTTTTAAAGCTCCTACAACATCTAGCATAGATTTTTTACACAGTATGCTCAATAAAATAACTGGGGAATGGAATACAATGGAATGAAATCATTGTGATCAGTTCATGTCACTTCTCTGATTCGTGCTACGGGGCTTGAGTCTAGATCTACATTAGACTTCCAAACTGAGGCAGAGGAGGAACATCCTGATGCTACCACGGTATTGAGAAACCGTGAAGAATACTCTGTACTGTAAGGTTCTTTCTACAGGTGCCACATTCCATGGACTCCCCCAAGCCTGGCAGTCTTTTCATGAATGTATGTCTACATGAGCTAATAAGGAAATGGGATTTAGAGCTTCCAGTAAGGAAAGACTCAGAGATGATCTCCTCACCTCGTATTCATACCTCTCCCACCATGATCTAGAGCAACTTATCATCTCAAGCTTTCCTCCTCCTTTATACCATGTCATAACAGTGCTCCTTAGATTTAGGGGGCAAAGTTATAATTTTAAATATTTTCTCCCATATTCTCCAAAGTGTGGCAATACTTGGTTATTGTAACCACCAGCACCAAGCACACCAGCCAAACGAGACCTTTCACCATTTCCCAGACGTATGCTGTAAAATCCTTCGTTTTTGCCATTTTTTTCTCAAGAAATACTTTCTTCTTGTCCTTTCCTCCAATTTCATACGCCTCATCCCATCTCTACCAAAATCCCATCATCCAATGAAGACTTTCCTAACTGCAGCAGCCTGAAATGGTCTCTTTCCTCTGAATTTCCCTAGTATTTGGCTATGCCTCTGTATGACAGTTACCAAATGCTACTTTATATTTCAGTTACCTCAGGTTTATAACA